AAATGATTATAATTTTTGATTTTGTCAAGTTCAAAAGAATGGGAAATGGTCCAGTCTGATATGAAAATCAAATATTTTTATTTTTTTGAAGAGGTCTAATCAATATGTATATATATATATGTATTTATTTATTTTTTTATTTTTTCTCTGCTAGACATTAAATTGGCCACCTTGTATCTTCCATTCTTTTTTACTAATCTTGTGACATGATTCAATTTGACTCCTGAGGCAGAAATAAAACATTAGAATTTATACCTTTTATATAATAAAAAAAAAAAAAGCGACCATTTTTAGCGTCTACCTTATCATATTTATTCCATTTAAAACAATTGTTTTCTGTTAGCTGTTAGGACATTGAATGTACCTAATATAATTAGGTAGATGCGGTTGCATTATAGCAAGGGTAGTAAAGAATAAAATGAATTAAGTTTACAAGGCTAATATATTTAACAGCCTTAGTATTTTAGGGTTTAACAAGTTTTTTGTGACAAAAATTATTCCTATTTTTCCTAACAATAGAAAAATACTAATAAAATCAAGAGTCCAGCATTTTACTTCATTATCGGTCATCCATCCCTAATAATGAAATCACGGAGGAAGCCTATAGCAGTCATCTGTGTTGCTAATCTTATTTCTAGATGTTAATTTCTTTAATTTATCTTCGTTTGTTTCTTCGCTTGCTTATCATCCCATTATCTTGATTACGACTACAATTTAAATCCATCAGATGAGCGAGTCTGATTTTATTTTCCTTTTAATGACTTTCAAAGTAGGTCAGCAATTAAATGAGGAAGCTTTAAACGTGAATCTGAAAAAAAGGAAGGAATCTTGTGTCTTTTTCTGCACATTAAAGGTTGGAACCCCTTAAGTGTTTATCACCAAACACAATGTCTTTAGTTATGGACTAAACAGTAAACTTGACGGCATCAGACACAAAAATACGCCCCTGTTGTTTTCTATCCAGCAACCCATACTTGGAGTCTATGGAGGATAAAAAGTGCCAAAATTAAATAAATAAATACAGCATTACATAAATAATTAAATGTGTCAATAATTAATTAAA